CAAACATATTTAAGAAATGAATAAGCAAGAATTCTATATTCAGGGTTCAAGCAGTAGCGCGCTTGCCTGGCATGCGTGCGGCCCGGGTTCGATCCTCAACACCACATACAAACAAAGATGTTGTGTCCACCGAAAACTAAAAAATAAATATTAAAAAATTTCTCTCAAAAAAAAAAAATTCTAAATTCAGTAAAACTGACTTTTAAATATAAAGAGCACAAACTTATTAACATGTTAACATGTAAGAAACTTAAGGAATACTATTACCATGAACACTTTCTTTTTTTCCTTTTTTTTTTTTGTGGTGCTGGGGATTAAACACAGGGCTTCACACATGCTAGACAAGCGCTTTACCAACTGAGCTGTATTCCTAGCCCTCCCATGAACTCTTTCTAAAGACTTAAAGAACAAGCTGACATTGAAAATGATTAGACATGTGAGCTCCTGGGGCCACTTAGTATATATAATACCATGACTAAATAGGGGTTATGCAGGTTAAATATTTGAGAATGCTGACAGTGTGTATGAGGGCTACATGCTTTGATAATAATAGAAACCGTACAACTATTTAAAAGTGAGGGATGGCACAAATATAACAAAATGTAAAGATTTATCTACTCTGAGTAATCACTCTGGTGATGGTATTTTTTTTTAATTTTTTAAGAATTTGTTCTAATTAGTTATGCATGACAGTAGACTGCATTCTGACACATCATACATAAACGGAGTACAACTTCTTATTCTTCTGGTTGTACATGATATATAGTTACACAGGTCATGGTAATCATATATGCACATAGAGTAATAATGTCCAACTCATTCTACTATCATTCCTACCCCCATGTTCCTTCCCTTCCTTCCCTCCTCTTTGTCTAATCTAAAGTACCTCTATTCTCCCTCCCCCTTTATGAATTAGCATCCACATATCAGTTTGTAGGGATAGGCTTATTTCCCTTTGCATAATATTCTCCAGTTCCATCCATTTACTGACAAATGCCATAATTTCATTCTTCTTTAAGGTTGAGTCATGTTCCATTATATACATACACATTTTCTTAATCCATTCATCTGCTGAAGGTTAGTTCCATAGCTTAGCTGTTGTGAACTGAGCTGCTATAAACATTGATGTGGCTGTGTCCCTATACTAAGCTAATTTTATGTCCTTTGAGAAGAGGGATAACTGGGCAAAATGGTGGTTCCATTCCAAGATTTCTGAAGAATCTCCATACTGCTTTCCACAGTGGCTGCACCAACTTGCAGTCCCACCAATGTATGAGTGTACCTTTTCCCCCACATCCTCACCAACATTTAATGTTGCTTATATTCCTGATTATTACCATTCTGACTGGAGAGATGGAATCTCAGTGTAGTTTTAATTTGCATTTCTCTGATTGCTAGAGATGATGAACATTTTTTTCATCTATCCATTCATCCATTGTATTTCTTCTTCTGTGAAGTATCTGTTCAGTTCCTTAGCCCATTTATTAATTGTACTATTTGTTTTTTTAGTGTTGAGTTTTTTGAGTTCTTTATATATCCTTGAGATTAATGCTCTGAGGTACAAGTGGTAAAGATTTTCTCCCATTATGTAGGCTCTCTCTTCACATTGATTGTTTCCTTTGCTGTGAAAAAACCTTTTTAGTTTGATTACATACCATTTATTGATTCTAGATACTACTTCTTTCACTTTAGGAATCTTGTTATCTTGCTGACTTGGGCCTAATTTTCTTCTATTAAGCGCAGGATCTCTGTTCTAGTGCCTAAGTCTTTAATCCACTTTGAGTTAATTTTCGTGTGGATGAGAGAGAGGGGTTTAATTTCATTTCACTACATATGGATTTCCAGTTTTCCCAGCACCATTTGTTTTACAGTCTTTTCTCCAATGTATGATTTTGGCACCTTTGTCAAGTATGAAATAACAGTTATGTGGGGTTGTCTCTGTTTCTTCTATTCTATACCCCTAGGTCTACACATATCCGTTTGGGGCCAATACCATACTATTTTTGTTACTATGGCTCTGTAGTATATTTAAGGTCTGGTATTGTGATACTTCCTATTTCTTTTCTTGCTAAGGATTTCTTTGGTATTCTGGGTCTCGTATTTTTCCAAACCAATCTCAAGACAGCTTTTTGTATTTCTATGCAGAATGTCATTGGGATTTTAATAGGAATTGCATTAAATAAAAACACTTTGGGTAGTATGGCCATTTTGACAGTGTTAATTCTGCCTATCCAAGAGCATAGGAGATCTTTCCATCTTAAAGTCTTCTTCTATTTCTTCCTTTAGTGTGCTATAGTTTCCACTGTAGAGGTCTTTCACCTCTTTTTTTAGATTGATTACCCAAATATTTATTTTATTTTTTTGAGGGCACTGGGTAGTGATAGAATGATTAATACTGTTATTCTGAGACTTGTGTATATAATACGGGATAACAAAGTAATATGGGATATTCAAATTCTATCATCCCATATACCTGAGAACCAAGACCCCAGGATGTACGGAGATATAAATAAATAATAATTACAGAAAAGTTTTTAAACCTTGTTATCCTAAATTTGAATCCAAAGTATCAGTATGTTTTCATATTAACCTTAAATATAACTGTACTTCAAAATATTTTTGTCATATATATCATATAAACATGTATATATTACTTACATATCACATTTTTTATTCATAAATGTATACGAACATGTGTGTGTGTATACATATGAAAAGGGGGGGTATCCTATATCCTAGCTTATGATCTTGAAATAACATTTCCAACTTAAAAAAAATGTCCTGGAAAAAATGGCTTATTTTAGGTTTGAGATTAAAAAAAAAAAAATACACAAGATGAGCCAAGAAAATCTTGTCACACAAGATAGAAAGGAAACTACCAAAGAACAAGACTTATATCAAGAACTCAGTTATAGAGGTTCTCCCTTAGCCAACAACAGGACAATTTAAGTATCAATTTTATTATAATTGCAACTTACCAAATAAGTTTGAAACCCAAATGCTTAAATACACTACTTAATTCTAATACTTCAAAAAACCTAACTGGTCATCCTCAAAGGATGACAGTTTATCCTGAAGACTAGTAAATAAAAGGAAAAAAACAAATATTCTTTCCTATAAAAATTGAACATCAAATAGTAAAGGAAGGGAAGTCTCTATAAAATATCTCTAAGAAATGCTAGAATTAGAATATCACTATTTGCAGCTCTCAAAGAATTAATGGCAATGGGCAAAACACAGAAATAGAAAAGAAGGCGTTCAGATCCCATATGTGATAAAGAAAAAATACAATATCACCTACAGGCCACCACCTGTAAAACAGCTGCCTATCAAAGAGCTTAAACCTGAATCCGATCAGAGTTTTACCAAAGTGAACTTGGTTTAATTAGGTACAGCATTCTAGATATCAAAAGAGAGAAAACCAGAGACATCGGTGGTATCAATCTCCAACATGGCAGCAGATGAGGGTATTTAAGTTTACTCAATAGATAAATCAGAAATTTTGAGCTCACAAAGAATTATTATCATCATTACTTTCTTTTTCCTTCAGGTATAGCACTATTACATTTAGATTTGATAATTATATTTTGTTTATTATTTATAGTTGTATCCTCCCTTCCTCTAATTTCCTAATATGTCATAAGCTCATAAACACAGGGACTTTTGTTTTTTTCCATCTACACAGTGCCAGGTAAAAAATTTTCATACACAACATCTACTCAGTATGTCTGCTGCTTTAAATTAAAATAAACAAGAGAGGTCAGTCAAAAGAAGAGAATATTCTGTACTTTTTATCAGATAAAAATCAGGCATCCTTGAAAGAAAATATAGGGAAGCATATTAGGACACAGAACTTCTTTAGCGTGGTTGTCCTGAGAAGTAACAATGTCCCTTTACTACCTTGAAATATTTAAAGAGGCTGTATACCCATGAGTAGGGGCACTGGGGAAAAGAATATTTGTGGGAGACCAACCTCGCATCTGACTGAGTTAACTCCCCTGTTGGGCGATGTGGCATCAGCCACCCATGCTGCTAGACTGCCCTGCTCTTCTAGGGTTCCAGTGACTGTCTTCATTCCTGGGCATGTCTTCTTACAGCCCCATGGGTGGAGCTATGCTGACCTATTCCTTTGTAATATAACCCCTTGCCCTGTTTAGGATAGAATGTTCCATGGAAGTGCCTTGTGTATGTCCCCTTCTCTTACTGTGCCCTTGGGTGTGGGTCTACCTAGATGTCAGTCAACCTGCTGACAGTGAACATCATGAAGATAGACTCAGTCCCCTGAAACCTGACCCCTTGCCTCATTTGAATAGCTTCTCCTCAATAAAAGGGGTCAGTGCGTTTTCTCTCTCTCTCTCTCTCTCTCTCTTTCTTCCTGCGGACCCTTAAGGTCAGAGAAGCTGTCACAGCCACCCCAAAGAAAAAGGTATTTGTGTCTCTTGTGTGGTTATTTTGCACAGTCCAGTCAGCCCAATTTCCCTGGAGTAATCCCTGAGCCTTTTAGTCTCGAGAACAGAAATCCGGCAAATATTCTTAGTGGGTCCACAGGCATATATATTTCTTTGAATATATCCAAGTTGCACTAAAAACAGAATGAAACTTATCTGCTATAAATTATTAAGATTTTGTTTTTGAATAAAGCTGTCCTGAGAGACTGAAATGCAAATGAGTAAGGAGAAATAAATCTATCCCCAAACCTATACAGAATAGCCATTTCCCATCAGAACTTTTGGACACTAAACACTCCCCAAATTATCATCATTTCATCTTTGATATTATCATCTTGATTTTATAAAAGAATAATATATTGAGAGAATAAATAACAAATGGGGTTTGAATTTTGACTCAACCATGGTCATTCCACTGAACTTTACTGTTTCAAACAGAAATTAATAGATATAAACCATAATTATTGTTTCTTTTGTGTACTGGCATTATAAAACTTAATTTTCTATCATATCTTAATTTCCATACCATAAGTTCATGCTTCCATGTCTTACCGCTTATTTCAAGCTCTGCCCAATGTGATTTCTTTCCATTTGCTGCTTCCTCAGAGGACATGATTGTGTACATCCTCCGAGGGTCAGGAGAGTCGTATTTTTCTTTGGGCATGCCTATAAAAAGAAACCAAAGACCATTTATCAGTGTTTTTACTTGTTTTATGATCAGCATCTGATGTAATCACTCCTTCCTAGACACATTTCATTTGGCTCCCAGGATATCATTTCTCTTAGTTTCCCTTTCCACTTCTCTAGATTTAGCATTTTGCTAATTCTCCTTGCAGGGTTGAAATTATCTCCATTTTACCAACAGAAAACAGAAGCCCAAAAAGGTTTAAGAAATTTCCCTACTGTTAGAAAGCCAAGCTTTGTGTGTCTGACTAAAAGTTAAAATTATATTATGTTGTCTCCCTGCTGATGGGAAGCAGAACTATTTTTTTCAAGCACAGTAATGGATTTTGTTTAGTCAATGCACAGAAAGGTAAATAATCCTTTTTTAAAAGCTGTCTGAAATAATGAAGAATATAAATGATGAGACTGCACAAGAAACAATAGCACATCTAAAACATGGTTTTGCTATATACTGATAAAACAAAACTGTTCTCTTACATGGAAGTGTTTTTTGTGTGTGTGTAGAAGAAAAAATAACTAAAGTTTTTAGACTGATTTTTAAAATCCAATACAAAAAGTGATATGGTTTTGTATAGAGGAGAATCTGCTAAAGTGCCCTTTCTGAATGATATCGATATACAACTAATAACCTAGAAAATATAAAATGCTGTATAAGTGCTACCAGAGCTTGAGGATAACACTGAAATGCCATGATTCTGATCAAATTCTATTTACAAAACAATCACTTAATCTTCATTAGCTTTCCAAATAAAATCAAGAAATTGTAAAAATTTATTCTAAACAGTTGAATATTTTGGTCCTATTATGTATTGGACTTCTCAGTGAAAGTTCAGAAGTCTGATTACCAATCTTATGTGACTTTAGTGTGAATCAATCCCCATGTTTGATCACACTTTAGAGAAGTGTTGCTGAACTAAAAAGATCTGAAAACCAGGGCCTGGACCTGTGATCATTCAATTCCATCAGTCATAATTTCTGCCAAGGTAGCTAGTCACTCTCTTGTTTTTTCATGTGAGAATGGTTACCTGAAAATATGAGACACTCATTAATCTAAACTCCAAAGCAGTAAGGACATCTCTATTTCTCAAATCCTTGAAATTGAGGATTAAAGAGTGAAAAAAATATATAATAAAATTTAAAAAGTTATAGCACACTGAACAATCAAGCTCCTGCAAGAAGGAACAGCAAGAGCACATCTGCCCAGTCAACCATGTTATTCATTTTCCTGGGAATCCAACAAAGTACAGCATTGAGATTAGGTAGAGAAAACAATTTATGGATACATAAAATTTTGAGGATTTTCCCCAAGGTTTTGAAATCAACAAACTTATCCTCTAATAAGCACAGTATGGGGCTGGGATTATGGCTCAGCAGTACAGCACTCGCCTAATAGGTATGAGGCCCTGGTTTCGATCCTCAACACCATATATAAATAAATAAAATAAAGGTATGGTGCCCACCCATCTACAACTAAAATAAATAAATAAATAAATAAATAAATAAATATATTTTTTTAAAAAGCACAGTATGTCACTGAAGATTACAATTTAAAAATAATAAGTCCTCCACCTCAAAAAAGACTTGAAAACTTTCAAAAAGAATTACCAAAGAATATTTTTTAAAAATAGATAGGCCACCCAGGCGTTTGAGTGCATGCCTGTAATCCCAATGGCTTGGGAGGCTGAGGCAGGAGGATCAGCTAACCAGCCTTAGCAACTGCAAGGCACTAAGCAACTCAGTGAGACCTGGTCTCTAAATGAAATACAAAATAGGGCTGGGGATGTGGATCAGTGTTTGAGTGCCCTGAGTTTAATCCTGGTCCCCCGCAACACACACACACACACACACACACACACACACACACACACACACACACACACAGAATAGGCAGGCCAGAGTCAGCAGATACATAGCACCTAATTACTGAATCTCCTACTCTACCAATCCATTACTGGACAACACTATTGATCCTGGCAACATAAAATCCATCCCTGATCTAGACCTCAGAGATAATATTTTTTTTCATTGTCTTGGAATAATTATTTCATTAAGAAAAACAAATAATATTAAATATCATAGTTACTAGAAAGACATGCTTTCATAACTAAATATTTATGAAGCAGCTTAAAGACTCATCTACAACCATCCTGAGAAAAATCAGTAGAGCACAGTACAGAAATCATAACACAACAGATAAAAAAGACTATTCTGTGGCATTTAAATTAAGGATGGCTCACGTTATGGTTTGGATGTGTTTCCCCAAAGGCTCATGTGTGAGACAACGTAAGAAGGTTTAGAGGAGAAATGACTGTTAGGAGGGCCTTAACTCAATCGATGAATTAATCCCTTGATGGGATTAACTGGGTGGTTACTATAGGTGGGTAAGGTGTGGTTAGAGGAGGTGGGTCATTGGGGAGTGGCTTTAGGGTATATATTTTGTATCTGGTGAATAGAGTTCTCTCTAATTCATGATCACCATGTAAACTGCTTCCTTCTGCCACACTCTTCCACCATGATATTTAGCCTCAATTCAAGCCACAAGGAATAGAGCCTGCTGATGCCTAAGGACTGAGACCTTTGAAACCATGAGCCCCCAGATAAACTTTTCCTCCTTTACAATTATTCTTATTGGGTCTTTTTGTCACAGCAGCAAAAAAGCTGACTAAAAGAAAAAAGGGGCGGGGAGTAGAGTAGAATACAGACAAAAAAGACAAGTATAAAAAGTTTCACCTTGTTAGTTCAGTCCCCTATAGATCCCTATAAGATTAACAGTTCCCTAATCAGAGCCCTGAAATTAAGTGCTGCATATTTTAATTTCCTCTAGTTCAGAGGCAAGTGAAAAGAAATATCTGCTGAATATAGGAACATCAGAAAGGAGAGTAAACAGTCTCAGGTCTTTTTTGGTTTTAAACCAGGAATCAAACTTATGCTCAACCAAAATTGGGGACAATCAAATATTGGAGCTTTCCCCATACATAAAAACAAGAGCTGAACCCACTAATCATGATTGACCCTAGTCAAAAGGCATGCCACAGCCTTGCCTCTCCCTACCTCTATGAGCAAAAAGAAAAAACCCAGCCTTCAAAACAAATCTCTACAGGGAAAACAGAAGTGCTAAGAACCCACCATAAAAGAAAGGTCTAACCATTTTTTCTCTCTACTCTCATATTTCACATAAACACTTCTGTGAATTGGGGTATGAAAGTTTTTCCTCACACCAAGCAATTCTTCAGTGGACATCAATTGACTGTCCTATAATCCAACCCACTCCTGCCATTATCTGGAGTTAAAAATAAGACCCCACAGTTTAAGGGGTCATTCCCATAGTACCCATCCATCATATGCAATATTAAGTAGCAGACTGTCACCTATACTGCTGACCAACAACCAGCTATGAACTGGAGTTCCCACTACTTCCTCCTTGAGTTCAATTAATTTGCACAGAATCAGGAAAACATTTTACTTAAGTTCACTGGTTTATTACAAAGGATTTTATAAAGGATACAGATGAACAGCCAGGTGAAGAGGTATCACAGGGTCATATGGAGGAAAGACAGAGAAGTTCCCATGTCCTATCCAGGCAGGTCAATTTCCTAAGACCTCCAAGAAGCTCATTCAAAGATTATTGTTCAATAGTTGTTAACATAGCTCCATCTCCAGCTCTTTATTCCCCTTTCCAAAAGTCAGTGGGCAGGGCTAAAAGTTCCAAACTTCTGATCACCAGGTGAACAGTTCCAATCACTTTATTTGCATAAACTAATACAATAATACACAATGAACTATTATAATAAACTAATATACTAAGGAGTTTCTTAGATTGGCTGTAACTTTTGCAGTTTTGAGGTTTAATAGCACAAATTTCTTTTTCTTTATTCATAAGTTCAAGTACAGAAGATTCACTCTTACCTTAGATCTTAGTAACCTCAGCATTCAATTTTGTTTTTGTCTTTCCTAAGAGCTTTCATTTTTTCCCTTAAAGGAAACACTTTACAACCTCTTTGGCATATCTAAATTGCCAACACCACTACTCTTAAACTGTAAGAACATTATTAAATAAAATAAAAGTTAATGGAGCACTAGCTCTGGGGTACTGATAGTCAATCTGATATTACAGATGGCAATGAGTAAGTAGCACATATAGAATGAATACACCAGATAAAAAAATGATTCACTTTCTGGGCATAGGATGGCATAAGATTTCATCATGCATTACTCAGGACAGAGTACAATTAAAAACTTTATTTCTTTATTTAAGGAATTTTCCATTTACTATTTTGGGACCATGGTTGACTATGGATAAAAGAAGCCTCAGAAAGAGAAATTGTGATGGGGCGAGGGTGGGGGGGATTACTGTATCAAGAAAGCAAAGTTCTATATAAAATAGCCAATTATAAGTGTGGGACAAGAAATGTATGAAATCACCCTGGGGCATCTCTCAGTGCCAAAAAGCTAAGTCTAATAGGGTCATCATGTCAGCATAAAACAAGAATTGCTAGAAGGGATCCTCCTTACTGGCCAAAGTTATGACAATTTGAGCAAAAAGAATCCCAATTATAATAAACTGAAATACACTTAATAAAAATCTATGAGCACCTCAAAAAAAGAAAGTCAATAAAAAGGAGGGAAAATATGATCCTATCTATGGTACAGAAAAGGGTCTGGCAGTGATATAAATGATGAATTATTAGCACAGAAAACTACTATGGTAATAAAGGCAAGGTGAAGAGGGAAAGAAAGAATGTGCACACAGCATTTGAAATAGGGAATAAACTAAAAATTAGTAAGATTCAAGTGATTATCTTTTCAGAAGGGAACTGTATTCTGAGTAATCAAAACAGCCAAGTTGAAGGAGTCTTACTTTATTAATGAATGATACCTAGTAAATTAAGTATGAAAGAATTAAAAAACAAAAGCAATCTTATGATGTACAATCATTTTGTAATTCCTAATGAACATTAGTCAGGTAAGAAATATAAACTGGA